GAAGAAGATGGAGAAGAATCCACAGTTCAAAGAAAACTACATCGCCTTTATGGAAGATATAATTAGTAAGGGCTACGTGGAAGAAGTATCTAATGAAAACAATACAAAGGGGGCCAATCGTGGTATATTCCTCACCGTGGGGTGTTTTACCCTCAGAAAAGGAAGAATAGGTTGATATTCGACTGTGCGGCAAAGTTTATGGGAATTTCCCTGAATGACGTACTGCTACCGGGTCCTAATCTTATGAACAGCTTACAGGGGGTTTTAATGCGCTTCCGTCAACATACAGTGGCAGTCTCAGGCGACATCGAGACTATGTTCTATCAAGTAAAGATGTCAGCAGAACAGAGGGAGTGGCTGAGGTTTTTGTGGTGGACCAAAGGGGACTTCAGTTATCAACCCAAGATATTCAGAATGACAGTACACCTGCTCGGTGCTGAATCTTCGCCATCGTGTGCCAATTATGGGTTGCTGAAAACTGCAACAGACAACAAGTGTGAGGTTAGCATAAAGGCTGTAGAAACGGTAAAACGGGATTTCTATATGGATGACGTATTGAAATCCGGAAAAACCATAGAAGAAGCCAAGAATTTGGTAATGAAGGAGGCTTCAAACTCACAAAATGGACGAGTAAGCGTCGAGAAGTGTTGGTATATATACCTGAAGAAGACCGAGCAAAGGAACTGAGGGATTTGGATCTAGATGCCTTACCACTACCATTTGAAAAAACGTTATGCATACTTTGGCGTTTAGAAGTTGATGAGTTCCAGTTCCGGAGTTTGTTAACGGATACTGAAGCAACCTGAAGAGTCATGCTATCAGTTATTAGTACAGTTTATGATCCGCTTGGATTCATCTCACCCCTGATCATACCAGCAAAAATTATTTTGCAGGAGATGTGTAAGAAGAAGACTGAATGGGATGACAAACCAGATAATACCACCTTGGATAAATGGAAACAGTGGACCCAGAACACAAAGAACATATAAGAAGTTAGAATTGATGGGTGTAATGTTCCAAGGGGATATGGAAAGGTGGCGAGTAGAGATTTATATGCATTCAGTGATGCTAGCGAGGTGGGGTATGGGGTTGTTATATACCTTAGATCCACAAATGAGAGAGGAGAGGTGCATGTATCCCTTGTGTCCTCGAAAGCCAGAGTGGTACCTTTGAAAAAGGGAACCATACCACCCAGATTTGAATTGACGGCAGCCACTCTAGCAGTCAAGATGGCGCATTTAGTGACAAGAGAACTGGACTTTGACTTAGCGAGAACCATGTATTGGACCGACAGCACTGCCCTCCTGAGATATATCACCAATGTGCAAGTTAGGTATCTGACGTTTGTAGCCAATCGGGTACACCTTATCAGAAAAGCTACTAGTCTATCCCAGTGGCATAATGTGAGCACAAGGGAGAATTTTTTTATTTATTTATTTTTATTTTATTTAGTATAAAATACTCAAAATGCAACAAAGGTTGAAATACTTTTGAAATTACAATAGGAAAAAATATAAATACAAAAAGAAAATCAAATCACACACAAAATAAACACAAAACTTTAGGCCTATCAATTCAATTAAATCTATATATATTAATAAATAATTAAAAAACTATATACAATTGTTATTACAAATTGATTATTTAAATATATATGTATAATTAGAGACTTAAAAAATAAAGCTATGATATGACTTCCAGAGGCGTTAAGAGAACACAAGACTTGATAAATGGCATTTGGTTTAAGGGACCAGATTACGTGTATCAATCAGAATCAGAGTGGCCAAGAGATGTGTTAATAGACTTAGACGTGGTGGATGTGGAAATGAAATCAAGCAGCACCATAGTAGAGGCTGTCAGTGGTTGACATGTTGGTGTCCAAAATCTCAAATTGGAAGAAGATGAAAAGAGTGATGGCTTGGGTTTTGATTGCAAGACAAAAGTTCTTGACCAAGATTCGACAGAACGCAGGGGTTGATACCGGCAGAAGTTCCGTTGTACAAGATCCTCGACAACTGACAGTAGAGTTGTTAAATAGAGTTGAGGATTTTATTTTGAAAGAAGTGCAATCTAATGCCTTTGAAAGAGAGATTAAGGAGCTTAAGGCTGGAAATACCGTGAGCAAGACCAGCGTATTGTTCAAACTCAACCCTATAATACTGCCGTGATTCGGGAAAACGCATTATATCCGTTTTTGATTTTTTGAGATTTTTGGCTTAGGGGCATACTATGGATGTAATCTATCATTGTAATTGTTCATATACCCCAAACAATGTTTATAAATATGAAATTAATATGATTGTTACGCATTATATCCATCTACCAACGCAAAAAAATCTTGAAGAGTGCATTATATCCACTAGGCATTGAACTGTAAGCAATCAACCAATCACAGAAGACAATGGTGCATATGTAATTAGTTTCCTAGCTGGTAGAAGGGCATAATACGAAGTTTGTTTTTGATCAGAGTACAATTAATACAAAAAGAATGCATTGCAACATGGCCATGATCAATTTGTGGTTAGAATATAAATTTTATTCTGTAATATTATTAATTATTATTAACTAAAATCATTCAACAAGCAACATAAAACATACATGTCAAACCTAAATAGTCTTTACTTAAGACTTTCCAAGTCAATGCTTGGAATTTAGATGTATTATCTGTACTAAATTTACATTTAAAATATTTAACAATATTTAAATGAGAGCAATTCCTTAAATTTAAGGAAATAAAAATATATATGGCCTGAAGATGTGTGTTTAGAAATTCCGGGGTATTTATTTTTTGTTTATTGAAGTGTCGTCTCGAACCGTCCATCTTGAGGTAGCGCATAGCCTGGACACTGATTCATGTATTAATTCAATCAGAAGATTTATTGCAAGAGGACCCGTGTTAACCATTACATCCGACAATGGAACCAAACTGGTTGGCGCGGAGAAGGAATTGATAGAGCTGTGGAAGAAGATTGATCAAGCCAATATGCGGGTATACTGACCAGCCGACCTTTGACAAAGATATCTACGGATCCAGGGGATATGCTGGCTGCAACTCCCAATATGCTGATAAACTCCAGAGGAAGAGTTCTCCATTCACCAGGAGGGTTTGTGAGTAAAGATGCATATGCCAGGAAACGTTGGAGACATGTACAGCACAGCTAGTGACATAGTATTGACTGTGTACTCATCAGCTCCTAGGAACTATAGGAGATAAGAACGAAGATGTTCGATCGTGTATGGTGTGGACGCAATCGGCGCTACTGGAGAGACCGGTGTTTAAACTATATATTATGGTCGAGAACAATTAGAAGGACATAGCATTTGAAGTGTAAGAAGGTTGTACAATGTGGCTGTGTCCATGTGAGTAGTGGAGTACAGCAGGTACTTGCTGAATTATTATTGCGGTGTTCTGGGATTGTTATCATAAGATATTCAGGATGTTTCCAGAAGTAAATGCTATTACTACATAGATGTTCAATGTAGCTGTTGAGTTGCATAGAGATTAGGGATCAACTGTACCGTACATCCCATATAAAATATTCTATAGAATTTTATAAAAAAAAAAAAACTATAGAATGTCTATAGCATATTTGCTTAGAAAATCTATAGAAAAGTCTATAGAAATAACTTTAGAAGCCCACTATAAAATGTTTATTAAAAATCTATTAAAACTATATTAAACATCTATTTAAGCTCTATTAAAAATCTATTAAAAGTATATTAAAAATCTATTACAAATTTATAAAAAAAATATAAAAAATTTATAAAAAATATAATAAAACTATATAAAAAGACTTACAAATCTATACACATTATATAAGAAAGTATGGAAATTCTATTAAAAATCTACAGAAAGTGAAAATTTTATATAAAAAAAACACCTTTAAAAACTATAGAAAATCTATAAACAATTTTATAAAAACCAATTATAAATCTATAAACATTTTATAGAAAAAACATATAAAAAAAACACTAATTATGCGAATAGAAATTCTATACAATTGTATAGAAAGTGTATATAATATGTTTTTGGACAATTCAACTGGTCTTCAACTTTAACTGGCCCCAATTCCAATTGGTTTGCAATGGTCCCAGTTCTAATTCGTAACAATGCAGACTTACAAAATACACTATGAGTTCATTATACAAACCATAATTTCTTTAATTTAAAACACTAACAAACATCATACGGTAAAGACATTACTTCCCTAGGGTTTCATTTACTAGCACACCCCTTCATTTATTATCGTTTTGCTAATGTCTTACTGCTAAGCATACTGTACCTCAAATTCAAGGCTATTCTACAGTTCTTTGCTTCACATTCCGGTTAAAAAGCATTTTTTTCGTAATGTAGTCCTGTTACAAGAGTTTATTATATAAAAAAATATTTAAGAACCATTTGTGTTACAGGTGTGCATAAACCAGCATTCTTTGTGATATTGCAGCAGCAACTGTCCATAACCATGCATTTTCTTGTCCGATGGTACCAAGCTAAATTAGTATGAATTATGCCGTTGAACAATTCTAGTTTAAAATATTCAATCAATGTGACTTGTACTAACATTTTTAGAAGTGTCACTCTTGCTGAAATAAATAACAAAACAAAATCTTTAAAAAGAATAATAATGGTAAACGTATACAGTATATAGAGCGCATATTATAGAAACCGCTATTAAATGTATTACATCCCTTTATTATTGTATTAAAGTAGTAGTAATATACATATATGTATACTAGCAGTTACTTCTTTTTTAATCAAAAGAAAATTATTTTTTTTTTAGTTTTCAAAACAGCTTAGCCTACAATTACAATTTCAATATCCCTTATGGCTTATATAGGCCTAATATATACACAATAAATTTGCTTAAACTCTATCGTGTAAACTACAGCATCATCTATAGCATGTTGTAATAATTAATAGTACAGGACAGTAAAAATAAAAATAAACAAAACATTATATTTACCTTTAGTAAGTCAGGTAATTTTCTGTTTCTTCACAGATACGTCTTCAAACAAACATTAGCGCTTTCCTACAACAATGATTAAGTTGACTGGATTGAGTTTTCACTTACAGTAGTTACCGAGACTTGAGTATCCTGAAATAAAGTCACCATTTATGTTGTAAGTATAGGCCTTTTGATTACATTGACTTTCTCCAAATAATGATACAATTCTTTACACCCCCCCCCCCAGTTAACCGTAAACTGATTATTTTATTAAAGCACTATAAAATGTCAGGTAATTTTATGTTCATTCACAGATACGTCTTTAAAAAAACATTAATACTTTCAACTACAAGATTAAGTTGACCGGATTGAGTTTTCACTTAATTACAGTAGTAACTGAGACTTGAGTATCCTGAAATAAAATCACCACTTATGTTAGTATAGGCCTAGAGATTTAATACATTAACTTTCTGCAAATAATGATTCTTTATACACCACCCCCTCCCCGGTTAACCCTAAACCCATTATTTTATTAAAGCATCATGGAAATTAGTGAGGACACGGCCCAAATGCAATTTACCACTCTTCTTATGGCATGCTAGACTATGGGGCAATTAACTTACAGCTTGCCTAAGCCAACAAAATGCCCAGGTTCTAGGCCTAGCCTTATAATATTGTCAATGGCCTAGAGAGAACAGAGAAACTCAGTTCTGTTTGTCTCTGTACAGCGGCTAGGCCTAGGCTAGTCATTACCGGTACAGATAGGCCTTAGGCTAGGCTATGTCAGGCCTCTTCCTTCAAGCCTTCATCCTACAAGGCCTAGGAGGAGCTAGCGTGTCTGCTAGGGTAGCCTAGTAATCTAACTATTAAAATAATAAAACAAAACCAACTCTTACATCCTAATAGTGAATAGAGTACTTCTAAAATTCTTTCAAGGAGTATGTTTATAACTGCCTAACACCATGAAAGTCCAGAGAAAAATTCAAAATACTACCGCTTCCGTTGGCTCTACATGATGTGACAATTCAAATTATATATACTTTCTATAGAGAAACAATTTTACAGATTATAAACGTTTCGATAGAGTTTTTATATATATTTTGTATATATTTTCTATAGACTATTAAAAGTTACAGTTTCTAAAATGACTGTGTTTAGAATATTATACAGTTCTACAGAATATACTATAAATAAGTAAACCTATAGAGATAATCCCTCTAAAATTGTTATAATACGTTTTAAAAAATACAGGTAAGGACTATAATTTGTTTATAGAATAAATATAGACATTTTATAGTTTTATTATAGAGAACTTGTCATATCATTTGTATAGAATATTCTATAGAATTTCTATAGAATATGTAAGATGTAAAACAAGTTGGTAGGACTATAATGGTCAGACACGAATGTGTCAAGAAAATATTGAATGAAACAAAAACAAAAAATAAAAACATAGAAATTACATTAAATATGTGTATATAGTATGTTATAGAATTCTATAGAAACTAGTTCCTCTATAAAACAATTTTATAGAAAATACTAATTTCTGTTTAAAAAATTGATTAGTCTTTATAGAAGGTCTATAAAGTTCTATAGAATTTTTATGTATGGGATAGCTTCATTTGTAGCATTGGAAATATGTAAAATTAATAATATAACGTAGTCAACATCCTTTAATAATTAATAAGTTCTTTGTTATTTAGTACACATACGGTACAGGCTGTACTTTGCATGATGTTAATGTTCATCACTATTTATTACTGTATGTTATATTCCGATATGCGTTATTAGATGAGTTTAATTTTGATTGATTTACAGTTAATCGTCACTTGTATTAGTTTAAACCGTCTCAGTTGTGTGGTTGCGCTCAAACTTGAACTAAGGATAAGAGTATACGTTGATATTCTGTCATCAGTTCCGAGGTTGTAAGACGCATTAAACAGAACTCTAAATATCTCTGCTGCTTTCTTGTTGGTTTGATTTTATTGACTGAACAACCACTTCTAGTAAACACTTCAGTCATAAAACATATTCTACTTCCCAGCTTTATCTTTGTCTAAACTTGTGAAGTCTGTGGCCAATATTTCGTTCAGTTGTGTTGCTATGATACTTGAAATTGGTTCTTTAATTCTCGGGCCCATCTTAGCCTTCGAACAAACATCACAACGTTGGCAGCAATCTTCTACACTTTTCGAAAACCTAGGCCAATAGCACCTTTCCTTAACAAGGCTCAGTGTTTGGTTAACCCCTTGATGCCCAGCTTGGTCATGGCACGCTGTCAACACTTCATTAATCAACAACTTAGGTAATACCAAGCGCCATCTTCCTCCAGACTAGGAATCGCTTTTATAAGCCTAGCCTAGAGCTGGTGGTACTCTAAGTAGGATGTGTTGTGTTAATGTGGGCTAGGCTAGATTATAATTCAATACGTTAATTACTGGTAGTCGACAAAAATACACTGCACAGGTTTTTTTTGGTTATTTTAATTGATGCCATAGCTTTTGGTTAGAACCTAAACTGTTTCAAAATTGATAAAAATCTACAACCGTTACATACAGTACCATTATCTTAATAATTACTCATTTCATTTGTTACAGTTGTTTCAGATACATTTAACAACAATTACTGTGCCATCCTACCACGTCACAAGGATCCGCATGGACGCGGCTAGTAAAGTAAGAAGAAAGTAAGTAAAACATTGACTTACAAATATATTCATTCTTAAGGTCTCTCTGTTACATTTTTTTTTAAACAATATACTGTAATATTCATACATACAAAAAGAATCATCATAGGCCGATGAATAAGAGAATTTGATAAACTCTCTACTATTCACTGTTTGCAATTCAAATTACAAAGTTATTCATACAATTTATTGACTAAAATTTATTATTACAGTAATATATTATTAGTTGTCCCTCCCCAGTACCACCTGATTGTATATCGACGGGAAATCAACCGATATTTACAAATTATTTAATATTCACAGTATGTTAAATTATGTTTACAGTACAGGACTGGTTAACAATGAAAACTCTTTATTACTATACAGCGTAATATATGAAAGACATCAAATGTTTACAAATTGTTCATCATTTTCATCAAGTCATGACATCTTCATTTTTTGAGTATTGTAGCTTTGTTATTCTTCTATATCTGTGAAAAAAAATCATTACCAATTTTTGCTTGGTTGGTATTCAGACTTAATAAAAATATTTTAAAAGTATTATTTTAGGAAAGTCTAAATAAATGTAAACATGTACAGTATAACTAAATGAAAATATCTATACACATTTGTACTTTGAATACAAGATGCAAGATAACTTTATTATCCAAAAGGAAATTGTATTTTTGGATATTACGTTACATTACATGTCAATCATAAATATATGTAGGACTTGTTAGATATAAATTATGTAGTCCATAGTACAATATATACAACATAACATTGCATATAGATAACACATTTAGGCCAACCAACCATTAAAGATTCATTTAATAATATTCATATTAAATATGTAACCTTGTATAAAACCAAATTATATTAAATGAATATTATTACTTACTATTGTATTTTTATTTTCTTAGTTTTCGTAGTTGCTGACGAGCAAGATCATAGTGAACCTTGAATGTCAATATCTGTCAATATGAACCACATTTGTCGATAGAGTTGCACAAATTACATGGGATAATTGATCGTTGCTAACCCTATGCGATATCACCTCACATTGTATCATGGACTTCGTCGAGTGAAGACCTACTCCTAATAGCTCCGTGAAATTACTTAAAAATTTCCCAACCTAGACGATATTTATAGCGATCTGTAAGTTATCATTATATTGAATGTATGATATTTGATATTTTACAACTGTGAACACTAGAAAAACCAGAATTCATAGTACTGGTAGTAAACCTGAGCCTACTGAGCTCACTAAAGATAAGCATGTTGAAATTTCCGCCATACTTGTGGACACGTCACTTTTGATACGTCACTGAATGCCTTGCATGACGAACTACGTAGCTTTGCAGCTGACATTAATGAGGGAATAGCATTGCTAAAACAAGGCCAGCATGCACTATTAAATAGAATTATATTATTTCAAAATGCATTTCTTACATTCTTTATTCATTGAGCTATTTTTATTGTATATGATAGTACATACTTATTAAATTATGCAAGATGTTATATGGTATTCATATATATATTCTAGTATTATTATTTTCATTATCTTGTTATTGTATTCCTTTTCTTATAATAGCGCAAATATTGTATGTTAAATATCTTAAAAATTATGTGATAAATGTCAAATAATGAGTATATAAATCTACCTTTTCACGGGGTAGGCTATTCTAATGAATTATTTGATGTTTCATTGAAATCTCCTGAAATGTATAATCCTGTTTTTAACCCATTATTAGATGATGACTTCAAATTTGATGAACAATCTGAAATGCTAGTTAATCACCTTAACTTTAGATCATCCACACTTGATTTGTGCAAATACTTTGATATTAATCAATTTAACCAACTTATAAAGAATAAAAGCACTAATCAAGTATCAATTTTTCACCTCAATGTTAGGAGTGTGTCAAATAAACATGACAGATTGGAAGAGCTTTTTAATTACATCAACCTCAAATTTTCTATCATTGGTCTCTCTGAGACATGGTTAAACGACCAAAAAATAATCAATTTTTAGAAGGATATAATTTTTTATCTTGTAATCGTATTGGTCGAAGGAGGGTTCGGATTATTCGTTAAAAATGAAATTAATTTCAAGTTAAGACATGATTTACTTTTGCCAAAAGAAATATGTGATTCCCTCTTTATTTAAATTCTTAACAAAAGGAAAAAGAATAATATCATTGGCATTATCTATAAATCGCCGGATTAAAATATTGACAATTTTACTGCCATAATAAATGAACTGCTTTTAAAGTTAAATTATGAAAATAAATTGTATAATATTATGGAAGACTTCAATATAGATCTAATCAAGTTTCATAATCAAAATTTTATAAATAATTATTTATATCTAAACCGACGAGAATTACAAAAAATAATGCAACTCTTATTGATCATTTTTACACTAACCATATTAATTCTGAAATTGTATCAGGTGTTATCATTTCTGATCATTTACCTATTTTTCAAATAATTTATTATGATTTAAATATAAATAATGATACTTTTAATTACTCGTATTCTATTAAGGATATAGGAGCATTTAGCCAAGATCTCTCTCAATCAGATTGGTTTAAACTTTATCATTCTAATTCATCTTTTGATTCATTTATAGACATATTTTCTACCGTACAACAAAAACTTCTATTTACTAAAGAAAAAACCCTAAATAAAACAAAATGTAAACACCCATGGATGACACCCTCTCTTCTAAAATGTAGTAAACGTAAACATAAGCTTTATAAAACATTTATTAATTCCCAAAACAGTCAAGATAATGTAAATTACAACAAATATAACAACATCTTTACCGCTCTTTGTCGAATGTCAAAAAAGAAGTACTATTAAACAAAATTTAATCAAATTAAATCTAATATTAAGAAGGTATGGGAAGTAATTAATTCTGTAATAAACCCTGGTTAAAAAAAATTTAAAAAATACCTAATGTTGTAAAAATTTAACAAGAGTATACTTACAATATAAATGCTATTTGCCGTTACTTTAATGACTTCTTTTCAGAAATCGGAAAACTGCATGTAATTCAATACCTAATAACATTGATCCACTTTCATATTTACCATTTCCCCCCCAAAATTCATTTTTTTTATTATTTCCAGTTTCTGAATCGGAAGTATTAAATATAATCAACGATTTCGATTCTAATAAAGGGTCGGGGCATGACTCTCTCACACCCTTTGTTCTTAAAAAAAATTGCTTCTTCAATTTTAAGCCACCTTACACACGCAATTAATTTATCTTTTACAACAGGTTCTGTACCTGACTATTTAAAGATAGCTAAAGTTATTCCTGCATTTAAAAAAGGTGACTCACATTTACTAAATAACTACCAATCTCCATTCTACCCATATTTTCAAAAATAACTGAGAAATTATTGCATACTCGTCTTTATAATTATTTTATTGAAAATCATTTACTTAATAACCATCAATACGGGATTGGCAAACATCATACCACCACACATGCCGTTTTAGAACTCATGAATTCTGTTAATAATGCGTTTGAAAATAATGAATTTTTATTGAGTACATTCCTCGATTTGTCAAAAGCTTTTGATCTTGTCAACCATGATATTTTAATTTCTAAACTTTTTCGTTATGGCATTAGAGGGGTCTCATTAGACTGGTTTACAAGTTATCTTAATAATAGAAAGCAATATGTTCAAATTGGTAACTGTAAGTCGACAGCAAGAAGTATTTTGTGTGGTGTACCACATGGGTCCGTCTTAGGACCCTTATTATTTCTTATTTACGTTAATGACTTACCATTGGCTAGTGATATTTTACACACTGTTTCCTTTGCCGATGATACTACCATATTATATTCTAATAACTAGAAATTGCAAATTGCAAGTGAAGTGCTGCGAAGTACAACTGCATATAAATGTTCTTCGAACAAAATTATTTATGCGAGTCAAGTGAAAATAATGAATAAT